GATCGACGGGTGAATCTTAGAAGATACGCGATAATCCTACAAATCTTATCCAATGACGAAAACTTATCTAATAGCGAAAGTATAGAATGAGGGGGATCGCAGGCGACGAGGGCTGTGATCCGCTCTTCCTCGCATGGGAGAGTTTCCTCAGAGAGTGTCGGCTCGGTGCGAGATTCGAAGTCTATGAGCCACTCAGGGCCTCTCCACCACAGTGAATTGGCCACGAGTTCGCGAGGGAAAAGCCAACGGGAGCAGTGATCGGCTGGGTTGAACTCGGTGGCCACATGACCCCACGCCGAGATCGGGATCTTGTCCTGTATCCGAGCAACGCGGTTGCGAACGAAAGTCTTCCATCGATGCGGGGAAGAGCGGATCCAACACAGCACCACCCGGGCATCGGACCAGGCGTACTCGGCGTCGATTTCCATGTGTCCCTGCAGGACCCGGCGGACGTACGCGAGCAGATTCGCGAGAAGTACCGCAGCGCAGAGCTCTAAACGGGGAAGGGAGATAGCGCGCAATGGAGCCACCTTAGATTTCGCACAAAGTATCGCGACCCCGGTCTCCGCCGGAGCGACCGTACGCAAGTACACGACGGCCCCATATCCCTGCTCGCTCGCATCGCAAAAGCCATGCAATTCGTGCCGAACGTTTGCGCCCGAGGGAAAGGTACGGGGTATTCGCAGGGGAGCCAACGCGTCGAACTCTGATTTATAGCGTTCCCACTGATGGCGAACATCTGATGGGGGCTCGTCGTCCCACTCGAGCTTCAAGGTCCACAACGTTGGATCAATCGTTTTGCGGTAAAGGTCAACGGCGCCAAGAAACCTAATGGATCAAATATGCGTGCTACCTCCGACAGTATCGTTCGCTTGGTGCATCCTCGCGTCAGAGGGTTTAGCTGAAACCCGAAACTGTCTGACTGCGAGTGCCAACGAAGACCCAGAACCTTAAGCGCTTGATCGTCGGCCGACTCGAAGGAAAGCGTCCTCTGACTGCAGATTTCCGGATCGAGGCCACCCAACGCGGCGGGGTGGCTACTCGCCCACTTCCGCAACTCAAATCCAGCACTCCGAAAGAGCTCGAGCAATTGATCGCGGAGCGCAACCGCTCTCTCGACGGTGCGGACACTGACGACGACGTCGTCCACGTAGAGAGACTCGATCAGCGCCGCGTACACCAACGGGTACCTACTCCGATTGTCGTGGGCCAATTTGAGCAAACAATAAATCGCCAGAAACGGAGAGGCCGTGGTACCGAATGTGACCGTCGTGAGTATGTAATCGAGGATCGGTTCCGATTCCGAAAAGCGCCAGACGATGCGCTGATAATTGCGATGCTCCGGGTGGATCCGGATCTGCCGGAACATTTGCTTTACGTCCGCGGTAATGGCCACGGGCTCCGCGCGAAAGAGAAGTAGAACCGCGACTATGTCGGGCTGCAACTTCGGGCCACTGAGCAAGGTATCGTTTAAGGATAGCCCGTTCGGGCATTTCGACGAAGCATCGAAAACTACGCGAAGTTTTGTGGTCGCGCTGTCCAGCTTGTAAACCCCGTGATGGGGCAAATAGTACACGCGACCGTCCGCGGGGAAAGGGTCGCTCGCCAACTCCATGTGGCCGCTATCCAAATAGTCCTGCATAAACGCGTTATAGCCCTCTCGAAACTCCCCATTAGACTTGAAACGACGCTCGAGTGCGCGCAGTCGATT